GGAGCTAATCTATGAAGACACAAAAGCATAAGAATGATATAATGGACTTTGGGACTTGAGGGGAAGAGTGGGAAGGGGTGAGGGATAAAAGACTACATATTGGGTACAGCTGTACACTGCTCAGGTGATGGGTGCACCAAAATCTCAGAAATCACCACTAAAGAACTTACCTATGTAACCAAAAACCACCTGTACCCCCCAAAAATACCGAAAGGAAATAAAAATGTAAAAATTGTTTTTTCCCAGAAAAAAATGACATGAGGCTGTAAAAAAAATTTAATTACTTTATAAAATACATACACATGTGCATATGTATTTCTTTTCAAATCTTTCCAAAATACAATTTCATTGAAGAATAATGTATCAATAAATAAGTTATAGCATGCTGCTTTTCTGCTCAAAATCCTCCAATGCCAACAGTTGTTTGTTTTCCTTTGACTACAAAGGACATAGCAGACTCCTGGTCATCCTCTTCCCATGCCTGTCCATCTCTAACTCTCACTTCATCCTATTCTTCCTTCTGTCACTCAGCGGCCCCTTTGTATACCTGAATGATGCCAGGAAAATTCCAGACTTAGAACATTTGCATTTGTATTTCTTCTGTCTGGAATATTTTCCCCAGGCATTCACATGGCTTGCTGGATAACTACCTTATACATTCAAATGTCATTTTCTCAGTGAAGCCTTTTGCAGCTTTTGCTGTATTTGAAAAGGCAATCCCCATTCACAGCGTCTGTCCTTCCCTTCCTTGATTTAGCTTTTTCTCCCTGCCATTATCACTGGCAAACTATATATATATGTGTGTTTAATTTTAATTATTTTGCTTATGATCTGTTTTTCCCACTAGAATGGAAGAATATAAGCTCCAAATTTTTTTTTTATTTTATTGAATTTTTAAAAATAACTTTGAGACAGGGTCTTGCTGTGTTGCCCAGACTGGTCCTGAATTCCTGGGCTCAAGTGATCCTCCTATCTCAACTTCCCAAAGTTCTGGGATTACAGGCATGAGCCACTACACCCAACCAAAGCTCCAAAAATGTATAAATGCTTATTGCACGGTGGTTTCCCTAGATACATTCCCTAGACCTGTGTCTGTCATATTGTAAGCACTCAGTAATATTTGTTTAATGGATGGGTGTGTTACAAAACAAACATATAACAGATAATGCACAGGGGTTTGACAGAGGAATGTTTGTGTTGAGAGGGGCAGAAGTAGAGTTTAGGGCTGAGAAGTCACTAGGAACAAATCAGTAGAGACTCTTCAATCTCAGCAAATAGGGTAATATTTTTAAAGTTATTGAGGTTGTGTAAGATAGAGACTGTAAATGGGTGACCATTTTGTTTTATTTGCTTAAATTAATGCTTGCCTTTATGATCATTATATTGAAAAGACGTTTATGACCCTTCAAAAACGACATCAGGTTAGAATGCTATTCCATCATGAGTCAAAGAAAGATTTGGAGTACTGCTGCAGGACAAGGCTCTTGATAGAGATTTGCAGGAAAAAAATAAAAAATTGGAAGCAGTGTCAGACACTTGAGTGTTTTATGCCAGAGGCCGATTGCAACAGAAAAGATAAAAACCAACATAATTTAATTAATGTATTTTTAATTAGGTGAACATAGGTGAAGGTAAATCTGCAGGTCTGGACACAAATGACAAACAATATATTGTCAGAATCATGTCAGAAAGTGACAGAACTACTAAAATATGATGTGGCTTCTTTGATTATCAGAGGAACTAAAGGAAGGCAGTTACGAAGAGGCTAAAGGTAACACTGGAATATATTTATTCTACAGAAAATGTATTACTATGGGGGACACGGTAACTGAACTTATTCTAATTGATTCAAGAAGAGCGAACTGGAACGTGCTCTAGTAGAGAGGTTTGTTGTTATAGATGAAAGGGATTTAGAGTCTAGACGATGATGTCGCTTTTCTAGAGTCTCACAGGATAGTCCTGGCCAAGCCATAACGGGGACCAAAGTGACTTTAAACTGTTCTAGATTGAGTAGCTTGGATCTATTTAACTTCTGCTTTTTTGTTTTTATTTTTTATTTTTTTACTTTAAGTTCTGGGATACATGTGCAGAACGTACAGGTTTGTTACATAGGTACACATGTGCCACGGTGGTTTGCTGCACCCATCAACCCGTCATCTAGGTTCTAAGCCCCGCATGCATTAGGTATGTGTCCTAATGCTCTCCCTCGCCTTTCTCCCCACACCCCAAAAGGCCCTGGTGTGTGATGTTCTCCTCTCTGTGTCCATGTGTTCTCATTGTTCAACTCCCACTTATGAGTGAGAACATGTAGTGTTTAACTTTTGTTAATTCACGTTTCTACTCAACTAATATTTTTAAGCCCTATTATATGCCAATTTCTGCCTTCTTAACTTTTAATGTGGGGAGGCAGACTTAAAAAAAATAAAAGGTGCACAAATAAAGGGGAGATGAACGCTAGGGAGAAAATTAAAGCAGGATGGGGAGGCAGAGAGCAGCTGTAGAATGGGAAAGGAAAGGCTGGCGCTGGAGGAGAAGGAGTGGGTCCTGAGGGTGCCGAGGAAAGACAAAGGAAGCAGCAGGTGCAGAGGCACTAAGGAGGGACCCTGCTGATGTGTTTGAGGAATGAAAGGTCCGTGTGGCTGGTGCCAAAGGAGCAAGGAGGGAGGATTGGCGTGTGAGGGCATAGAGGCAGGAGAAGCCAGGTCATAGAGGGACTTCAGCTGTTTTCAGGACTTCACTTTTACTGGAACAAGACCCGCTGCCATTGAGGGTTTTGAGCAGAGTATCAGAATCTCACTTATATTTGAAAAGCCTCACCGTGACTCCTGTGTTAAATGTAGATGTGGAGGCGGCAAGGGTGGAAAGCAGCAGACTGGTTAGGAATCAGGATGGCTTTGACCCTAGTAGTGTTGGTGGGTTGGCAGGAGGTGTGTTCAAATTATGGAAATACATTGAAGGTAGAGCAGACAGGATTCATGGGCAGACTGGATGATCAATGCAGAAGAGAGGCATTAATGGTGACTCCTGGGTTTTGTCCTGAGCACCTGTAAGAATGGAGTTGCCATTTACCACGCTCTCTCTCTCTCTCTCTCTCTCTCTCTCTATCTCTTACCACTTCTTTCCTCTCTATCCCCTTCCTTTTTAATTTATTAATTGATAAAACTATATTGGTCTATAGAGTTTCCCACGGCATGGATTTCATGGAGTATTTCCCTGTGTGGCATTTTATATGTTCCTCTCTCCCTTGTATATTCTGGAAATCCACAGTTAGGTCTATAAACTTGGTCAAATTCATGCTTGATTTTTATCAATACTACATTACATGTAACATTGATTATGTATTTTCATCCAAAGGTGCATCACATCTGGTTTCACTTGTGATTATATTAGCAGCCATTGATAATCATTGCTTAGATCCTACTAAATTTGTCAGAAGTTAGGAAGTGATGATACTCTAATCCCATCATTTAGTCTTCTTTTATGAGCTGAAATATTTCCATCAAGACAATATTTGGTTTCATTAAGGTTCCTATAACAAAGATAAGTGAAAGGCTTGATTCTTCTCTTCATTCACCAATATTCAAAATAATAAGTTGGTTACCTAGCATCTTCCAAATTTAAACATTTTTAATAATTTTAATAAATTTAAGAATTTAAATAAATTTGATATGCCTTAATCCATTGCAGAATATTCTTGTTGATGTTAAAACTGAACCTTCTTTGGCCCTGGGTGTTTTTGAACTGCCCTCAGTCTCTAATTGCTTATTTTTTTTCTAGTGGGATATATTCCTGGCTCATCTTTCATCTTGCACATTTCCAGCCGTAGAAGCCATCATTTCTCCAGGGATCCTAGTTTTATCTTAGAGGAAATGGTATTTAGTGATGACAGTCTGGTGCACGAGGTTGGTCCTTGTTTAGGAGCTTTTTCAGTGCACAGAGGCAAGACATATGCCACATTTAAAATTAGATAACATTATCTTAGGTTCTTAGTGATGCTTCTAACTAAAATTTAAACGTATATGGAGCTTTCATTTAACCTTATCTATTTTGGATCTGCTTCTTTTCTTACACTGAAATTTTCAGGGTCAAAATCACCAAGATAATTACTCACTTGCTTTATTCCACATGTACAGAACATTTCAATAGCAGAGAATGCAATGTCTAATTTTGCCTAAAAGGTCAGGGTGAAAAGAACATTTGTTGACAAGATGAAGATACATATTCTGATTAGAGCAAACACCATGTAGGAAGACTCAGAGGCTTGAAAGAGCATAGTTCATTTAGGAAAGAGAAAATCCGGTTCCACCAGAGGAATGATGGATGACAGTCAGGAAGAAGTTGGAACATAATGAGCCTGATATTCAATGCTGCAGATGTTAGAGCACCAACCAGATACAAAAGCTTTTTTTTTTTTTTTTTTTTTTTTTGCCTTGTTTTTAGGAGGTATCTTGTGTTTGTCTTCAATAAAAATATTGCTTTCTAGGCCGGGCGTGGTGGCTCAGGCCTGTAAACCCTGCACTTTGGGAGGCCAAGACGGGTGGATCACAAGGTCAGGAGATCAAGACCATCCTGGCTAACATGGTGAAACCCCATCTCTAGTAAAAAATACAAAAAAAAAAAAATGTAGCCGGGCAAGGTGGCGGGCGCCTGTAGTCCCAGCTACTCAGGAGGCTGAGGCAGGAGAATGGTGTAAACCTGGGAGGCAGAGCTTGCAGTGAGCTGAGATTTGGTCACTGCACTCCAGCCTGGGTGACAGAGCGAGACTCCATCTCAATTTTAAAAAAAGAATATATATATATATAGCTTTCCTACTTTGTCCTCATAGGCAGAATTTAGGGATGAGCAAAGAGCAGGGGATGTTTTAAGGATTGCTCTCCTTAACACTGTTCTACACCAGCTCAGTAAAAAGACCATTTAAGTGTAGCTCAATTATTTTCTGACATTTGGAGAAGCATTTGCATACTAATAATCCAGGGTCCTGGTTGTTTTTCTCCCTACAGAGGACAAAGTGTGGACCATAGTGTCTCATGACTTGCAGATGCAGACGAATGTGGTCGCCTACAACCCAGAAAAATACTCAGTGACACAGCTTGTTTACAGCGCCTCCATGGACCAGATAAGTGCCATCACTGACAGCGCGGAGTACTGCGAGCAGTATGTCTCCTATTTCTGCAAGATGTCAAGGTTGTTGAACACTCCAGGTAGGCTGAGAATGGAACGTTACTTTTAATTACTATCTCAGCTGGTGCCTGGAATTACCTAAACAATCCAACAGGTGTGGTTCATTATCTTATAGTCCAGTCTTCAGTAGGAAGGAAGCTGTAAATAAGTAAAACAGAATCATTTGGCATGGTTTCTGTGGAATGAAGCTAAGAAAGAATGATTTTGAAGAAAAAGTAGTCTGTTGTTTTAAACTTACGGATTTTTAAATTTTATGTGCATATATGTTTCTAGTGCTTAATTATCAGTAGTGACTGTGAGACAAAGTTTATCAGAGCTCCTTGTGAACATTCAAGCAATTCCGTTTGAGAGTTTGGGGTGTCTTTATTGTAAAGATGAAAGCATTCTAAAAGTTGTCTACAGTCAAATAGGATATAGAATAGCGATAGAATTTAGAGCTCTTTCTTCCCAATAGTCACTTCATGGTACCTGTTTGTCTCAAGAAGTCTAGCCTGATTTTTTGTTTTCGTGATGGCCAACTTTTAACAATTTGCTAGCGTGTGTGTGAGTGTGCACATGCAAACACATATACGTGTGTGCAAGACTGTGTCGGGGTGTAGAGAATAGAGCAGTTCCAAAAGATATGCTGGAAATAACTTTACTGCAACAAGTCCCATATGCTCTGGGAGTCTTGGCAGTAAATTCGAGATGTTGTCAGAAAACTGCATCTCTGTGTCTGTAGTAAAACACAGTGGAAATAAGTTAAAGAAACATGAGTTCATAATTTCCAACCTTACCACTTCCCAAGTATGTGAGTTTGGGGGAGTTAATTGACCTCTTTTTAAAATTTTACCTTAATTGGCAGATAAAATTGTATATGTCTATCGTGTACAATGTGTTTAGAAATATATATATATATATAGTGGAATGGCTAACTCTCACATATGCCTTGCCTCATACATTTATTATTTTTGTGAAACAAACACTTAAAATCCATGCTTAGCAATTTTCAAGATATGATAAATACATTGCTACTAATCGTAGTCACCATGTTGTACAATAGACCTCTTGACCTTAAGCCTCAGTTTCCAGTGTCTTTTTCTGTCAAGCAGAAATTATAATGCCTACTTCAGGGTGATTGGGAGAATTTCGTAAGGTAATATACTAAGTACTTATAAGACTTGATACACTTAAGGACATGATAAGTAGCAAGTAGTATATTGATTTTTTAAGATCATGTTAAGCAACTTTGTGCTATGTCAGAGACCAATGGGCTGTTGGATGCCCCAAAACAGTGATGAATTGAAAGCAATGTTGTACGGAGTAGTTTATAGAAAAGAATTATAAGCAAACAGTGATACGGCTCCAATGACTGAAGGAACGCCAGGGTTCTTAATCTCACGCAGAATTGGATAAAACGACACGGACATACGTGGAGTGGTTTTAAGGAGAGGAGCGTTTAACAGGCAACAAAGAAGGAAGGAAGAAAAAAACACCTCCCCCATACAGAGACAGAGAGAGGGAGGATTCCAACAAGAGAAAACCCCCTGTGGGGTGGTAAAGTGGCTGCTTATATGGGGAGGATGGAGGCGGTGGTACCTGATTTGCATAGGGCTCAGGGAATTGGTTTGACCAGGCATGTTATTCACTTAGCCCAGGGGGAAAAACTGGCCTTCCCACCCTAGTCTTTTAATATGCAAATGCAGGGCGCCTTGATGCTCTACACGCATGCAGATGTGTGGGGGCGGCCATGTTGCCAGGTACTTGTGAGGGCAAGGAAGAAGGAGGCAGGAATCTCCATGTTTGGGTAGGCCCCGTTTCTAATGGCTGGTATTTGCACATCAAAGCTTGCCAGGCTGACTCTAAGAGCCGGGGTTTTCCTGCTAGACAAGAAACATTTTTGGAGCTGTTTTAAAAGAAACAAAAACTTTCCAAGGACCCCTTTTTTCCTCTATCTGCCTAAAATAATTTCTTAATAATTTCTTAATAACTCCTATAACAGTAGTACACAATATTGTGAAAATGTGAGTGCTTTCTGTGTGCAAAGCCTTGTGCTAGAAGTATAGACAGAGTATCCTCTAAGAAATAAGGTCGGAAAGGAAGGGTGGGAGTAGGAAGGAAAGGAAATGCTGTGCTGTGGAGTTGGGACTTCATCCTGAGAGCCAGTACTTCTCAGACTTTAGTTGGCATTACAGTATCTGGTGAGATAATAAAACCTGGTTTGCTGGGCCCCATTCCCTGAGTTACTGATTCAGCAGGTCTCGGGTGGTGCTTGAGAATTTGCATTTATAGTGAGTGCTATGGACTGAATTATGACCCCCCAGAATTCCTATGTTAAAGCCCTAACCCCCAATGTGACTGTATTTGGAGATTTGGCCTTTAGTAAGTAATTAAGATTAAATGAGGTCATAATGGTGGGGTCCAATAGGATTGGTGGCCTCAGGAGAACAAACAGAAACAAGTCTTTCTGTCATGTGAGGACAGCAAAAAGGCAGCATCTGTAAGCCAGGAAGACAGCCCTCACCAGAAACAAAATCAGCCAGCACCTTGATCTTTCACTTCCCAACCTCCAGAACTGTGAGAAAATACATTTCTGTCACTGAAGCCACTCAATCTATGGTATTTTGTTATGGAAGCCTGAGCAGATGAATACAATAGGGTCCCAAGTGATGCTGATATTGCTGGTCTAGAGATCGTGCTGAGAACCCGCACAACTCTTTTTTCTATTCACTTCCACTTCTCATAGGGGGTGTGTGTGTGTGTGTCTGTGTGTGTGTTTTAACTGGATCTGGTTTCCAGTGTTAGGAAAAGTCAAAGACTATATGTAGAAGACCAAGGGCACTAAGAGCCATTAATAAGCCTCATCAGCTTATCTTCACTGTTTCATGAGCGGATGCTCCTTACTGAAGCTCTTTTCACGGATTCCAGTGAATTAGTCTTCAGTCCTGGGGTGGGGGTGGAAACGGGGGCAAATTCCTGACCAGCGAAAGAACCTTGATACTCTCAGCTTTATGTTCTTTATTTTCTTTCTTTCTTTGATTAAACTCCAAAGTCAGCTTTTACTTTTTGAATTTTGCTCTGGTAATTAAAAAACACAGTATGGCTTCTGAATATGTTCAACTTACAGTTGAGGTACGAGGAGAATTAGACTAGAGGTGGGAAAAGAATTTACCTTTAGTGCTCCTGGTCTTGCAGTTCAGCTTCTTTCTTCCCCCATCATTGACATTCCTTGTCTCATCCCCTCAACCATCACGAAGCCTCACACACATAACCACTCTCCTTTACAAAACATAAAATGTACAAAACATCAGGAAAAATGGGATAAACTTGTTATTAAGCACTATGTTAGTTGCATTTTCTAATAATGAGATAAAGACATTTTTATTTAATCTCCAGATACGCCTTTCACGAGAAAAACTGCTAAATTGAAATCAAGAGTAAACTTTTAATCTGAAGAGTAAATATACCATTTTCTTTGTATTTCTAGACATCCAGATACTGGGTTTCCTGTCATTTGTAGATTATTATTGTACATAATAAATTGTACTTTAAAAATCAGTTTTTCATAAGTTTCTTGCCTGTTTGGACATCCTATATATATCCAATCTTTGATTCACATAGGATTTGTACTTAACAAATGTTTGCTGATTCAAATGAAGTGAATAATAGGTAGCTTTGCGTGTTGCCTCATCCAACCCTGGGGCAGTTGTTTTAGGCAGGAGTGTGCATCAGAGTTTTTAGGTTGCTTGTCAAAGTGTGGATTGAATGGCCTTACTCCCAGGCTTTCCTAGAGGTTGGTTGGGGCCCCAAGATATTTGCTTTTAACAAACATCCATGGGTAATTCTGTGAACCACACATTGAGAAACACTGTCTTTAATTCATGGCATGAAGGTTTCTCATGTTGGAATTTAAGGTGTTAGTCCTTCATGTGGGAGAAGATTAAAGGAAATATTAGGGCTTGTCTGACCCGCTGAAATAAAATGGCATACGTAGTTACCTGCTTCAGCTAAAATAAATTGGCATAATACAATTTTTTAATCCTTTTGATATACCAGTCTCTAAATATTGTAAAGTGAATTTCAGCTTACCCTTCTGAGTCATTTTTTACAGTCCCAATTTTCATTTTCTAGGCCTACTAATCTGCAGAATAGCTGATGCAAGGAAAAGGAGTGGTTGAGACAGCAAGTTCCTTGTATTATTATATTTTGTATATGTCAAAACAAGAAAGAACACAATTTAATAAAAATCTTTAATTTGTTTTTTTAAAGGAGCTAATGTTTACTGTAATGGTTTTTTCTTTTTTTCCTCCTTCATGGTAACATTCAGTTTTAAATATCCATTTACTTATTCTTAACTAAGACTGAATTATATTAGAACTTCTGTAGTAGTACTTGTGACATCTGTTCGAATACAAAGTATATTCATTATAGTCATTGCAATTAAAATGAATATCAAATGAGATTGTAATAGCTTTGCACTTAAAATGTTATTTTTTATTTTAAGAGCTTTACCCTCAAGAGTTCATTTGGGGCTCTATAGTTTCTAATGATACTTATGATAAATAGTTGATATGCATATGGACCTCATTTTTATTTTGATAAATGTTTGTTTGTACCATACCATTAGCTAGCAAATGTAAAATTACACATTATTAGTTTCTTACAATTTTTACAAGGATACATGCCATGTAATGTGTTCTCTTTTATTACTGCAAAACTTAAAAATATTAACAGATTAAAAATAATGATTTTGCCAATATTTATGGTTATGTCTATTCTCGCAATGTAACTATTACTTCAGTTGTCTTCAGCTTTACAAAAGACATAGAAATGGAAAAATAAAAAGTTATTTTATTTTATATAGAAAAGCCTGCCTAGAATTAGGCATATCAATTTGGGAATCACCAAATTAGTTTACCCAAACATAGAAAAATAATTAATGGTCATCCAAATGGATGTCTGCATGGTTTATATTTATATCCCCAGATTTGTAAATGTAACAGCACCTGAACTTATGAAGGGCTAAATTAGTGAACAATGC